GAGAAAATATTTAACCTACTCAAACCTGACATTTGAAATAAAATAGTCATGTACTTTATTATTCTAACAATAAAATTGGTGTTTATTTTATACATCTTTAGCAGCATTCGATTTTGCAACATTTTGCAAATCGAGATGAACTTCACGTTTTGCGATATTATTTTAGCGTTTTACAGCACATAGTAGAACGTGTCTAACAACAGCTAAGTATTACGTGAAGAAGGTACGAAAGAAAGAAAAGAAGAGCGTTACTTTCCAAATTTGTGTTTCAATCTAAACCAAAAATAAATAAATGGAATGAGAGAGGGCAGTTATGTAAAGTTAGCGTCGAAAGTTCCTGGTTCGATAACTAGGCCTATCAATCCCACGTCGGACTTCAAAGATCTAACTTTTACAAAATTCAAGCAGTAGTTGCACAGTGTGCAAGCTTCAGATAAAATTATTTTCTTGATGAAAGTCCGTCGAAAAAGCCACTCTTCAGTGATGTTGTAGAGCTGCGTTTTCTTCTTTATATTAGTTACTTTTATATCTACCAAATTTCCCAATCATCGGCAGAACGACGTAAAATAACCAACTTAGAAGGCCCTCTTTCACACGCTTTATGTAAAATACCTCCACTGTTTCTACCAAAAATGTAAAATGATGCTATTTGTGTATAATTTTAACTAATCATCCTCACACAAAGCACAGAGACAGTTGAAAGACTGCTAGACTTTTAACAAATGAACATTTAATAAATCCTATACGAATTGATATATAAAACTAAACTAGAACGAATTGCACTAATTACTGCATAGGACACTCTCCCCATAAGACTACATAGGAATAACATTTCAAACAAACTTATCAACATTTGCTAAAAATAGCATTTGGAGAAACATCACTAAGGTAATCGTTGCATAGAATCACATAGGATAAAACATTTCCCCACATAGGACCTGTATATATCTATTATAACATAGGATCTTATTTAGAAAAAAATGGTCAGAAAATATACCCAGAAAGTTTTGTTTTTAGTATTGTTAATTACTAACTGTTATATAAAAAGTGTACTAAGCAACAGTTGTATATACAAAATCTATGTAAAAAATACGCTAAGCAAACAATACACAATCTTTAAAAATAAATATAAAGCCCAGTCTATCATTCGATTCACCACTTGGCCCGGCATGGCCAGGTGGTTAGGGCACTCGACTCGTAATCTGCGGGTCGCGGGTTCGAATCCCCGTCACACCAAACATGCTCGCCTCTTTCAGCCGTGGGGGCGTTATAATGTGACGGTCAATCCCACTATTCGTTGGTAAAAGAGTTGCCGGTGGGTGGTGGTGACTAGCT